TGTATCACAAATCTTTTAAAGATGCCACAAGCTCTTTAGGCCTCGTTAACGAAACTTGACTCTCGTCAAGGTAATGTGCGCCATCTAGTGGGCTTCAGCGGAACTGGGAGAACAGGAGGAGAAACCTTCAGGGAGGTGGTTGGTGCCTTTGCTGCCTGAATGGCTTTCAATGAGCACAGCAGATTTCTCTAGCTCTCACATAATGTGGCATGCACCTCAGTTTCATAGGAGAAGGCCTTTTTGTTATTATGGTGTGTGGGGGGGTGAAGGCCCCTCAACAGATTTTGAAATACTAGGGACTTTATTTTCCAGCATTGTCTCTGGTGTTGCTTTTGTTAAGCATGGAAATTTAAGGATGCAATGAGGCGCAGTGGAGGCTGTAGTTTTCTTTATCCTATATGGTTTATTTACACATGTATTTACAAGCTGAGCCCAATATGGAGGAGTCCACAGCATTCTTAGCCTGAGAGGTTCTGGCTTCTTCCATTGCTTAAGCAGACCCAAGCATTATTCTCAAACCTTGCTCCTTGCTCTTTGCCCCCACTCCTCCCCCCTTTCACTCCTCTCTCAGGAGTCACACATGACTCCAACACACTCTGGGCGCAAGGGGGCGGGCACCTGCCCTGCAAGGGGCGGAGCAAGTGGCAAAGAACAAAGGCATTGCGCAGCCAACCCCCACTGCCACTGGGGCGACCCCAGCCCCGAGCGGAGGCTGTTGCGCCCTTCTGGCACCCCCCTCCCCAGATCCCAGCCTTGCAAGGCTGCTTAGTGTGGGGATGTGAAGTAAACGAAAGTCACCTAGCTCCAGTGGCGTAGCGTGGGGGGGTGCAGGGGGGGCCGGCCGCACCAGGCGCAACTTCTGGGGGTTAGGGTTAGGGGGCGCAAATCCACGGGTTAGGGGGCGCAAATCCACGGGTTAGGGGGCGCAAATTATTTGCCTTGCCCCGGGTGCTGACAACCCACGCTACGCCACTGCCTAGCTCTGTTGCTTTGCTTGTCTTTTGAAAGACACTTGCTGCTGCAGGGCGCCTGTTTGGGCATGTGGTGTTTTCCTGGGGAAGGTTCCGTTTCCAAGTGCGCCCCCGCCCCACAAATCCAGTGGGGTGGAGCCAGGCTTTGCCCGCCCCCCAGCCGCTGCCAGCCGCTGTTCAGGATAGTAGTGCTGGGAGGTGGGTGTGCAACGCGCTCGGAGCCGAGCACCAGCACTGGGGAAGCGGCGTGCCCGCCTCCAAGCTGGTTGGCCATTTTGTCACCCCACTCATGGATGACACCCAGGGCAGCCTGCACCCCCCTTCCTATACCACTGGAGTCACAATCCATTACTTCCTAACTCTGTTACTTAACTCTGAATTGCAGTCCCTGAACTCTTGGCTTTATCTCTGAGGTCAAAGGGGCCCCACCTCTTTGCCCTCTATGGAGAGTTCCTTTGATACAGGCTAACCCCTCCAAGGTAATTAAAGGTAAAGGGACCCCTGACCATTAGGTCCAGTCGTGGCCGAATCTGGGGATGCGGCGCTCACCTCACTTTATTTACCTGGGTACAGCTTCCGGGTCATGTGGTCAGCATGACTAAACCGCTTCTGGCGAACCAGAGCAGCGCACGGAAATGCCGTTTACCTTCCCGCTGGAGCGGTATCTATTTATCTACTTGCACTTTGACGTGCTTTCGAACTGCTGGGTTGGCAGAAGCTGGGACTGAGCAACGGGAACTCACCCCGTCGCGGGGATTCGAACCGCCGACCTTCTGATCAGCAAGGTTTAACCCACAGTGCCACCTGCGTCCCTCCAAGGTAATTAGACTGATTTAATTAGCACCATCTTGGCCTAATTAGCCCTTAACACATGCTAATTTCAGAGGGTTTAAAACGGTCTAATACACATGTCTGGCATCCCGTTTTAACACACAAGCTCTAATTAAATCCTAACGTTTACTAAACCCAGGCATTAAGCACCCGCAAACCTATAACAATAAGAAGAAATGCTTTCCTTATGTACTTGGAGGGGGGGGAAGCAGAGACAAGGAACTAGATCCAGTCAAGAGGGCCAGATTCAGAACTTGCCCACTCTCCTTGGGCGGGTGGTGGGACATCATATGAGATCAGACAATTCAAATTTAAGCCTGTGGCTGCAATGAAAGACCCAAGAGCACACTCTACCTCTTCCTTTGCTGCTTGCCTTCAACACTTTTAAAATTTGGCACCTTTTTCTGTTGCCATGCCACCCGACAGCAGTTGACAGACAGGTGGGAGTGATTGGGCTAAGCCGCATTGTGCGTCAAATGGGGAAGCCTGCAGGTGTAGTTAGGCTGACATAATGAGGTCTGTAAGCTCAATTAGGCTGGATATTCCCCTGCAGTGGGAAATTGGCAAGGAGTTTTGGTTGCTTATGTGTTTCATAAAAGTTAATGCACAGCTTCATTTTCTATTCTTTTTTTAAAACCACCTCAAACACTTTACAGAAAAGATAAAACAATAAAATTGTTTGTGATGTTGCAGTCCTTTGGTTGGCAATTTTTCGAGCCAGTTGCTCAAATTGTGATATCTGAGCTGGGCTGGGCTTGCTTGGTATATGATTCAGGTGCTAAGTTTGAAGTGTTGCTTGCTGTTTTTACATTGTAAGAGTAAGTGTTGCTGAATCAGGATTTTTTTTATAAAAAATCTATTCATGGCGCCCAGCACATGCTGGTGCAAGCAGGCAAACTTTTTTTTTTTGGTATTTTTATTAAAGATTTTCTTGATTTACAGAAGTATGTGTAATGCCTCTCTCTTGTATTTTTTCTTTGTGGCCTGATCGTAACTTGGCGGTTTGGCGCTGTTGTGAACCAGCTCGGTAGGTATTTAAAACTGAAAGCTTTCGAATGGTCTCCCACCCTCCTACTCAGTACTGTACAAAAACAGAAGCTACTTTTTATTCTACATTATGGGATGGGTGGTAGAGAGTGACTTAAGCCCGTGGTTACTGATCTTGCTCAGGAACGTGTATGTGTGCTTGGTTAAAGAGCGAGTCTGCCTCAATGAAGCACTAAGGACACTTTTCTTTTCTCAAACTAATGCATTACAGTGGTGCCCCGCAAGACGAATGCCTCGCAAGACGGAAAAACCGCTAGACGAAAGGGTTTTCCGTTTTGAAGTTGCTTCGCAGGACGAATTCCCCTATGGGCTTGCTTCGCAAGACGAAAATACCTTGCGAGTCTAGATTTTTTTTTCGCTTTTCCCCCCCTTTATCTAATCTGCTAAGCCTTTAATAGCCTTTAATAGCCTTTTAGCAGCTAATCCCCTAAGCCTTTAAGCCTTTAATAGCCGCTAAACAGCTGATAGCGCTAATAGCGCTAATCCGTCAATGGGCTTGCTTCGCAAGACGAAAAAACCGCTAGACGAAGACTCTTGCGGAACGGATTAATTTCGTCTTGCGAGGCACCACTGTACAGTGAAGTGAGGCTACGGCTGCTTTCCCTTCCAGCCTTCCGCTCCAACCCCGCAAATGGCAGCATTCAAACAGAACCCAGAAATGGGGCTCTGCATTACTAACTCTTTACCCCCTTCCATTCCTGGGATGGGAGAATGGGGTGGAGGAACTTAAGACATTTTATTCTGTTTATTTATCTGTACGCCTTAGCGAGCAACGGTCCCGCTCTTTGCCTGCAGCAGCCTTAATTGCTATTGGGGTGGGGGAATGCTAAGAACAAAAAACCCCCATACAACAAATTATTTCCCCTCACCCTGCTCTTTCCAGACTTTCCCCTTGGGTGTTGACAAAAGGGCGGGGGGGACCCCAAGGCGGCATCTTCAAAGCGCCTGGATTTGTTTTCCATTGCCTCCCAGCAGCTGCCACTTCTGCAATATGACATAGCTGTCAACTGTCCCTTATTTGGCGGGAAACTCCTTTATCCCAGCGCCGTGTCCCGCTCCTGTCCCTTATTGATGATGTCCCTTAAATTTCCCAGGTTTCATGCTTGCCCAGCTCGGGAGGGAAGCAGCGGCTCGGGGTCCTCCGCCGCGAGAGAGAGCTGCCGCGTCTCCTCCTCTCTCTTTTCCCCCTCAGGGGCGCGTCATGAGGAGACGGGTGGCGGTGGGTGGGCAGGCAGCCCCTCTCTTGTGAGACTTCCGCCGCACTGCCAGGGGAAGCCGGAGGTGGCAGGAGGCAGCCTGAGGGAGGAGGAAGAGGAGGGGGATGGGGAGGGACGCAGAAGGGCGGCGCTTCAGCGGCTGCCGCGGTACCGCAACCGCCTCATGCCGGGCTCGCGGGTGGTATGGGAGAGAGTCTCTCGCCCTCCCTCTCTTTCGGGCGGGGAAGGGCTGATGGAACTCCTCGCACCAGGACGACAGCAGCCCAGACATGCTGCTTAGCATACCCTCCAATCAGTGCAGCATCTTAATGTAGTGATTTCCCCTTCTGCATCCCTTTCATAACTCTATTTTTATAAATCATTTGTCCATCCATAGTTCAAATTTTTACTACAAGTTTTCTGTCAATCCTACCAATGTACGTACCTCTTTACAATAGCTTTTCAAATACATTATAAACTTTCCCCATTCTTTATTAAAGAGGTCCTCTTCCTGGTTTCTAATTCTGCTTGTTAGCTTTGCCATCTCGACGTCGTTCATCAGTTTTGTCTGCCCCTCTTCTTTGGTCGGAGTTGTAGACCCTTAGGATCATCTAGTCCAACCCCTTGCAAAACACAGTCAGTGGCAGCCAAAGCAGCATGGCTCCATCAGTGCCGGATTTCTGTATAAGCTAAGCAAAATCCCTTATTTTGGCTGCTGATCCCTTATTTTCGAGGCTGCTGGTCCCTTATTTTCAAATCTGTAAGTTGACACCTATGCAATACGAAGCTAACACACCTGGGAGCGGGGGGTGGGGTGGGATAAGGGTGTCGAAAACATCCCGGAAGACACGGTGCGCAAACCAAAGGAGCCGCGCCCCTTTGGCGGCGCCTCCGCAGCCCGTAAAAGCGGGACTCATCGGCCAGGCAATTCGACCCTCCTCACGTGACTGCAGCCATGTCGCGCGGCACCGGAAGCAGAGCTCGGAGGAGGCGGGCCCTTGAAGGGCGGCGGAAGGGGTGGGCTCTGAGAGCGGCTCGGCAGGAGAGGCGGCGGGGCGAGGAGGGTCGGGCCGCCTGCGCTCTCTCCTCCTGGCTGTTCGTTCCCGTGTTTTCCGGCGGAGGAAGGTAAGGGCGAGGGAGGCTGAGGCGGGGAGCGCCGGAGAGGGGCCCGGGCTCTAGGCTGCTGCTCTGTCCCTCCCCGGCGCGCTTTGCACCGGCTCAGGGACACGCTCGCAGCCGCTGGCGGGGCAGCTCGGTCCGTAGAGCGTGAGGCTCCGAACCTCAGGCTCGCGGGTTCGAGCCCCACGTTGGGCAAAAGGGCATTGCCAGGAGGTTGAGCTAGATGACCCCGGGGTCCCCTTCCTATTCCACGATTCTGTGTTCAGCCTGACGAGGAAGACGGAGCGCAGCCCTGTCTCGAATTCAGTCTGAGAGCATGGGCGTAGCCAAGGGGGACACATGCTCCCCCGTGTACAAAAATCAATACAAATCTGAGGTTCTGTTCCCCTCCCTCCACAACAAAAGCCTGCCCCCCTTCCTAACAAAAATCCCATTCCTGAGAGAGAAAGAGGCCACTTTGCTTACATTTGCTTTGAAGTTCCCTAGTGGAAGCTCTTTGCCCCCATTGCAAATTGGGGGGGTCGAGGACGACGACACATGCACACCCTCTCTCTGTTTAGAGGCAGTTTTGCTTGAGTAATTAAATTCCCATCCTGCCTTTCTCCGACAGGAGCCCAGGGTAGTGAACGCACAAGCAGCTAAAAAATCAAAACATCTAAAAGGTTGCATTGTACGTGCCCAGAGGCACTCTTATTTATATCTCAGTCCATATCCGTGCTGGGTTTTAGGTCAGATTTAAGTTTTGAGGAGTTATGGGGAAGAGGAAGGGGAGCCCTTGGGAAAGGTTTAGAAGGAAGTATGGGCATGAGGTGCTGTCAGCCTTTTGAGGAAGGCAAAATTGGGAGAAGTAACTCTCTAGGGTTGAGGGAAGAATAGTGACGTGCAGACCGTTCCTCCTCTTAATGCTTGGGTTGCATTGTGTTTGTGGTTAGTGATTTTTAAATTTTAAAAAGACCTATTGTAATTCGGGTATCGAATGAGTGATAATCTACCCATGAGCTTTCTGTGCAGTAGAAATGGGTGTGGGATATGAATAATTTTAGGCAGTTAGGTTACATTGAGGAAAGTGAGGGTAGGTTACTATCTCACTTTAGGAAGTAGAATCATTTGATTGGGTTAAACTGAAAAAAAGTTTGACAGACTTGAGAAGCTGTATTACAGATAAGACAAAGATGCTACTATATCAAATATAGCTCTAGCTCTTTAGATAAGTATTAGTCTTTTCTTCTTCAGTGAGCGTTCATATGGAAAGGCTACTTCAAAATAGGTACGTTGAAGAATGTGGCTGCTATGGCACTATTACAAAATGCAGTTGCTGTTGACTTGATGGGCAGAGGGGGCACATAATATTGGTAAAGTGATACGTTTTATTGTACTAGTGTCAGTGGGCAAGGTGAAAATCAAACTTTTTAGCATAGACTGCTCAGTCTCTTACTTTTGTCTATTACGTGAGGCTTTAAGCTTTATTGAAAGAATGCAGGTGCACGTGTAATAAAAGTAAAGGACCGCCAAGGACCCATAACTGATTCTATCATGAATAGATGGTATTGGTTAGGGTAGTGTCAGCTGCAGAACAATGAAAGTAAAACCAGGATAATTAAGAATGTCATTATGTTTCTTCTTGCCTTTCTTTTCTGCATTCTAAAATTCATTTGACTTCTTGTGTTGTTGATGATACCAGTGTTATAACTTGTCGAACAATATTCTCATTAGTCCACTTTTGGAGACAAAATGATCTGTAGGCGAACCCAATTGCAGCAGGAGTTTGTTAAAAAGGTGAGCATCCTAATGGTATTGCCCAGGAACAAACTGCTCAAGGGATAGATATCCTGTAAAGTCCCTGCAGTGCTGGCCTAACATGTTTGCTTTGTGTTGTGCTAGTGAAATGAGCAGTGTGTTGCCTCCTAAGCATTTGCTTTCCATTGGAAATGGCTCAAATTGTAAGATAATACTATGTATTTATGATACTGTACATGTTCCAGTAGTTGCAGGGCTGACACTGACCCTTTCCCCCAGTACAGAAGTGGGGAGAAGACAATTTTCCACTTATAGACAGCTGGCCAATTTTCAGTCAACTTCCTGCTGCTCATGGTTGTTAGGGTTCTTGGGTCTGATCCAGCAAAGTACTTACAATCTTAAGGATGAGTGCATAGTTCAGATCACTTAATAGATTTGTCACACCTTAACTGATGAGTGATCCTGAGTATGTACTCAAAAACACTTAAGTGGAACACAGCTGAATGGATAGGTCTCAGCCATAGGTGTCCTTATGTATTTTTTAGAACTCATCTGTTACTTTTGCAACTATTCTGTAACTGTTTTGTTACCTTTTGTACATTATCTTGGGACATGCATGGAAAGAGATTAATAATAACAATACTAGCAAGACAAAGTTTCTAGTAGAGAAAGAAAAGTGTACCATGCAAGGACTGAATCCTGCTCACTTCAGCTCTAGTCATTGTGGCTAAGTTGAGTTTCCAAATTTGGCTGCTGCAGTATACCGTTTTCACACTGTGATAAACAAGTTGCCACAGGTTGCACTAAATAGCATCATGTACATAAATGAATTTCTCATTGTGACCTATCTGAAATGCTGCCTTTTAAATGTGTTTCTCATTCCTATAGCAACCTTTGCAACTGAAAGATGTATTGTATGCCTAGAATTGCTACGCAGATAAAACTGGCATGACCTGCATGGCAACTTATCAGAGTGCCTGAGTTCCCAGTATATTTCTTTAATTAGTTGTGCTTCAGAATTGCCCTTGAAACAACATTTTTTGCAAAATTGTAAATGGTCTTTGCAGCTATGCAAGCATAACTGAAAGAGACCTGATGGACAGGTTTCATAATGTGTTGTGTCCTGGGGTGGTGACTGCAGAGCAAGGATGGCCAAAGTGAACTTTCACTGGTTCATCTTGTGTTAACAGTGTTCACTTTGGTAATGAGATCCTTTAGCAGCAGCTTGTTGTAGGTCTCAATAAATAGACACACGGGAAGATAGGAATTGAGCTGTTAGTCATGCTAAGGTTAATCTTGCCCAGCATTCCGTTTCCAAAAGTTGCTGGCTAGATGTCTTTGGGAGCTCAAAACAAGGGGTGGTGTTGGTGGTGGATCTGCTGTCTTGGTCACCCCCCGCCAATTCCATTTAGCATTCATAGCTATACTGCCTCTGTCTATAGCGGTGTCACAGCTATTGTTGCTAATAACCGTTGATAGATCTGCCTTCCCAAGAAATCCAGGACTAAAACAATTAAATCATATCTTCCAAAATGCTACCAGGTCTGCTTTGATTATTGCCCATACACTATCTTTAACTCTTTAAAAAGAAAGAGTTCAAAAAACATTCAGTCGCAAAAAGCTGGCTGCATATTTGTGGCTCCAAGTTCATTGTGGTCATGGTTTGAAAAACAAGGTTCTAAAAAGACTTGGTTTTGACATTTACAAAAATCTGGCAGGGAATTCTCAAATATGTGAATTGACTTTATACTGTAGGCAACAGACAACCTTTAGCGTGTTGGTAGTTGCTCAATCCTGTTGCTTATTCCTAAAGATTTGGGGATGGCCAGTGATTGAGGGGAAGGTTGGTTCTACATATTATTTTTCTGACTAAAATGTGCTTGTAGATCTCATGATCAGGCAGCAGTGAATGATAATGACAGTCACATGATTATTAGCTGGCAGTTGTATGTCACTTTTGTGGTGAGAAGGGATAAGTGGTGTAGATTATTGGTAGAACAAGTTCTGCAGCTTACAATTGTTAAAAGATAATTCTTTATTTCAAGTACAGATAAGTTGAAAAACTGTGTTGCTTAATGTTCTCTACTTTCCTGAGTGGGCATAACTGTATAACTCTGCCCCTGGACTTTAGTTTCCCTTCGATAAGATGGAGCACTGAAGATCTATGGCGCCTTTGTGATATGCACATTTACAAATACAGTGGTACCTCGGTTTACGAACTTAATCCGTTCTGGAATTAAACCGAAACTGTTTTAAACCGAGACGCACTTTCCCTAATGAGGCCTCTTGCCGCCAGTGCCCTTCCACCGTTTGGATTCCGTTCTTAGACTGAGGTAAAGTTCGCAAACCGGGACACTACTTCAGGTTTTGCAGAGTTCGTAAACTGAATTGTTCGTAAACAGGACTGTTCTTAAACCGAGGTACCACCGTATACAGGCAGACTCCTAAACTGGCAACAAGGCTGCTAATCTTGTTTCGGGATTGCCATTATACTGAAGAGCAAGAAGTGAGCTGCACTACAGAGTTTATAGTAGTTTCATTTTGGATTTACAGTAGTTTCATTTTGGATGGAGACTTAGGGAGTTTTTGTTATTCATGTTAGTTGACAAATATTATCATTTTGCTATTCTTAGCTTGTTTTAATCAACGAGTTATTTTATGATGTATTAAATATTTTCACCTTATAATGTATTTGACGGGTAGGGAGTTAAGTTCTAATAATTTTCTGTGGTGTGTGTGTTAATATTTTTGTGTCCCCAGCTACATTATGGAATGTCTTGCCTGCTCTGGAGGTTCAGCCATCCCCCCCTTTTGTCCCCTTCCATTGGTCGATGAATACCTTTGTATACCTGCAGGTTTTTTTGCTGCATTTCCTTAGATGTGGTTCTGTGTTGTGGACTGTTATCTTCCATGTTTGTGTTTTCTAATTGTGTTTTATTATGATCATGGTTTCACTTCATGTAAACCGCTTTGAGAAAGGTGTTGGCCTCAAAGGCATAGAAGTTTTAAGAGTAATAAAAATTCAGCAGACTGGATGCCAAGTGTGCTTCAGTTTTAGCAAAGCTCATGGCTCTTTCTGGGTGGTATTCAACTAAGGTTTACCCCAAGTAGATTCACTGGAATTAATGAACACCACTAAGTTGGGTCAATTGATTTCAGTGAGTAAAACTAAGTTGAATACCACCACATGTCTAAATTGGGACTTTACACAAATAGTTTCCCTGCTTCTCAGACAGGAATGTCATTCCCCCCTCACGCCCAAGAAAGGTCAGAAGAAACTTCCAGTCATCAACTGATCATAATGGATGGTTTCCCCTTCCTCTTTCCTTCTCTGCCCCCTCAACCAGTGACTATTTCAAGCACATGTTACAGTGGGCATTTTGCTTTTCTTGTCTGATGCAGTCCAGTTCTTTGTGTCTAGGTCAGAAGATGAAATTAAATGAGATAACCTTGCACAAGGGATATCTTCTAGCCACAATAAATCCTGCTTTTGTTGCAGGCTTAGGGACCAGCCAGGATGTCTCCCTGCTACTTGTTCCTCTTTCAGTCAAAAATGAGAAAGGAAAAGTTGCAACTTGTTCTTCTTGGGGAAGGAGGTAATTGGTAGACTGTTCTTATCACAGGCATCAAACTTCATTGGTCTGTCATTTTTGCAGAAGACTGGATAAACTTGGAAGTCTAGTGTGGTATTTTGAGAATCAGAAAGCAAGAGGAAGCACACAGCAGAATGGAGAACAGTTTTAAACTTCCTTCTTAACAGTACTGTACTTAGCCAAGAAAACAGATTTTTCTGGGTAACTAAAACCATTAAGGTTCAAAGCACTAGCCCAGTAGTCTGTTTCTTCTACATGTGAGCAGCCACAATACGGGATCAGGCACTTGGGCGTGGAAAGACTGATGAGAACCACATTCTACAAAGATAGAGTTGCTGTGGTTTTTGTGATTGCAATGATTCAATGAAGTGATGAAAGATTTGCCCTGAGGGGCTCCATTGAGCCATGTTGGCTGGATAGGAACAAGTATTGCCCTGACTTAAAAAACTGTTGATGATGTTGTTAGTGTATTAATGCCAGCAGGGCCAGTGGTCAGGGATGACGGGAATTGTAGTCCAAAAACAACGGGAGATCTTCATTCACTTGTAAGCATGCCCAACAGCGTCAGGGAACCTTTTGCAGCCCAAGGACCACATTTTCTTCTGGGCAACCTTTCAAGGGCCACATGCTAGTGGCGGGCAAAGCCAAAAGTAAAAGTGAGCAGAGCAAAAAAAAGTAAATCTTAACTCTTGAGTGGTAAGCCAGTTTCTTTGTTCTTGCACACATGCCCCTCCTCTATCCAGAGAAACAAGAAGCAGTAGGAGGACACATTCCAGCCATGCCAAACACTTGAGGAGGGTGTGGCTTAGGAATACAGAGGGTATATTTGATCCGGGGAGACTTCCAGGGGCCAGTTAATAAGGTCCTAAGGGGCACGTGGTTCCCCATCCCTGATGTACAGGGATTTTTTGGAGGGGTGCATGCTCTTGACTGCAGATGTTTACTGAAAGCCATGTAAGCCAGTTTTAAATCTCATAAGTGATATTTATACAACTTTGAGATTTATGCAACTCTCATAAAGTGACAGTTAAGGAATACAGCTGCAGTGTCTATGGTACTCTTCAAAAGGGAGCACACATTCTCGTACATGGTCTTATCCGCCCCACTCCATCAAAGCAAGGTGCATAAGTTTAGGCTCCAAGTTCCCAGAGGTGTGCAGGCCCAGAGGAAAACTGGGAAAAAATGGGAGTGGGGTGGGGGCATGGCTTTTCCCCTTGGTCTTCACATCTCTCCTAGCTCCTCCCCACTTCTGTTAACTGTCTGGGCCGGAGGGCCAGTTTCGCAACCTCTGTACACAGACTTTTGCTTCCCACTCGGTTTTCTCAAAGGACGGCCTCACCAATTCTTACTTCCTTTTCCACTCGGTAAAGAGTGAACAGTGCTACTGAAACTGTCAAGTTTGTGGTTGGCTGGTAACTCTCAGGTTTTTGGGGAGGGGCTTGGGTCAGGGCATCTAATCTGCATGCAGTCAGTTCCAGGTTCAGTTCCAGCATTTCTAGGTAGGGCTTGGAGAAGTTTCTTCCTGAAATCCTGGAGAACCACTGCTGGCCAATGCCAACAGTGCTTCATATTTTTGCATGCCACCCCAATCTCTGAGTGGTGCAAGATTCCATCATTTTCAGGCACTTACCTGGGGTTTGTGTTTCCTTTCGGAAATGAGGCACAGTGGAGACTGTGTTGTCTTTATGATATATGGTTTATTTACACATATACATAGCCTGAGCCTACGATGGAGGGGTCCGCAGCTTCAGCACCCCAAGAGGGTCTTGCTTCTCCCATAGCCGCAACCCTGGTTTTGAACAGAAACCAATCATTGCTCTGCCTCTCTGGCTTTCCAGCTTGCTGCTTTACTTCTCTGCCACAATTCCCTCCCTAACCTCTCTCCTCTAAGCCCCGGCTTTATCTATTGAGGGAGGGGGCCACCACCCACTTACCATCTCGCACACCCAGCCCCTTGATTAAACTGGAATGTTGGGGAATAATGTAGCCTAAAATGGCGGGATAAAAACCTGATTAATAAGTAAAATTAAATTGGCTGCACTGTAGAATAAATCTTTGAAGATTGCAGCTTACATCCACTTGGGATCAGTCTTCAAAACCAACCATCTCATCATCTCTTTCACTTCTGCTGAAAATTTAACACCCTGTCTTTAGCATTTTGCACATTACGTTTCCTACTGACATCTACTGGGAGATTTTTTTGGGGGGTGGGCAGAAACAGCATTTGCCCAGTAACACTTCAGCTGCACTTAGAAAATCGTATCCTGTAACATGACAAGCTGATATTTCTTTAAGTGCTTTGATTATCTTTTTCCTTTTTTAAAGGTTCAGAGCATGGAGAATGATGAACTTCCGTCAGAGGATGGGATGGATTGGTGTGGGATTATACTTAATAGCAAGTGCGGCAGCATTTTACTATGTCTTTGAAATCAATGAGACTTACAACAGACTAGCACTGGAGCACATCCAGCAACCTCCTGAAAAACTGAGAGAAGAAACGACCTGGATGCACTCCTTAAAAACACGGCTGCTGTCCGTACCCTTTTGGCTGTGGACTATTATCTTCTTGATCCCTTATTTACAAATGTTCCTGTTCCTTTATTCCTGTACAAGAGCTGATCCCAAAACGGTGGGCTACTGTATTATTCCAATTTGCCTGGCTGTCGTTTGCAATCGTCACCAAACATTTGCGAAGGCCTCCAACCAAATTAGCAGATTGCAGCTGATTGACACTTAAACCCATCTGCGTTTCCCGATGAACGCTTTTAGATAACCGGAAGGATCTTGGCTGCATCAGTTGAACATACAAATGGAATGTGAAATTCTTTTTCTCCACGTTAACTACTGAATAGAGCATCAACCTATTTTTTGAATAAGTTGACTTTGAGTATGGGTGCATTCTATTTGGTGGAATAACTGAGCTTTCTTTGAGACTGGAGGATGTCATTCTTCATATTTGCCTTATAATGCAGAATTTCTACACTCCTGAAGTTTTTGTGGAGAAAACCTATTTGAAACCTTATTTCACTGTGCACCCCCCCCTTTTTATCTTCAAGCTTCCCTCAGGAGGAGGATCAGTGAAAACAGACTTTTCCTTTGTTATAATGTGTAAAGTTTGGAATGATCATAAACTCGCATTTAAGATATTGTGCTTTTTCCTTAAATAATGTTGCACTCAATAAAACAGGGCTTCGTTCACACACATGACTAAAAGAAAATGAGCCCTTTGTTCATTTATTGTTTTTTTGACTTCCAGTTCAGTGTAAGTTGTTAGGCCAGTTCTTCAGAAACTAATTTTCCATATATGGGAACAAAAATGCAACATGTGCTATATGTCAAATATGAAGGCTGTGTGTGAGAGGGGAAAGAGACAGAGAGAGCCGCTCTCAGTTTTGCTTTAAAATGCATGTGAACTGACAATTAGTTGCTGTTCATGTGTTAGGAAAATATGGCACTCACTGCATTTTCCTCCCAGCAGCGCTCAGTTCATTCTATTATGTACATTGCTCTATCCCAGGGGTCTGCAACCCGCGGCTCCGGAGCCGCATGTGGCTCTTTTACACATTTTCCGTGGCTCCGGGGCGGATACTAGCGAGGGGAGGAGGCGCATTGTGCGCCCCGACACTCCCCACTGTGGCGGGCGCTGTACTGGCTGTACCGACGTCGCATGGGCGCGTGCGTGCGCTAGTCATGCACCGTCCAGACGTCACCTGTCCCGCTGGTCCACCTGCTACATTGAAAGGGGGCATGTACGCTGGTCACTGTTTTGAAGAGGAGTGAAGAACACACACACACAAAAAGGTAACTTGTTAATTTAACGTTTATTTCTATGAGGAGGAGTAATTCTGAGGGGTCAAACAAAGAAATAATAAAGTGACAAAAAAGTTATTTTTATAATGACGAGTTTTGCAGCTCCCAGTTTTTTTTTCTTCGGAAACGGGTCCAAGTGGCTCTTTTTGTCTTAAAGGTTGCAGACCCCTGCTCTATCCAATAAAACAGCCATCAAACATTAAAACCAACATCCAAACCACAGTAATAAACCCAGAAACCAACACCAATTTACCAAGTAGAAAATTCTCAGTATTTGCTAATACAGAAAGTAGTTTTATAATGTAAATGTTTCAGCAGGAGCTGTTTTATCTACATTATTTGCTCAATGTGAGTATAGATATCTGCATAATCTAAGTCTCTCCCCCCCCCCTTTTTTTTAGTAAAGTACTTCAGATATACCAGTTGTCCTTCTAATTGCATGGCATCTGAGGGGAAATGCAGTTAACTGCAACTGAGATGATGTACTTTAGCATCCTCCTGTGGCCTGGTTTCTATCAAACCAGAGGTTACTCATTTCATTTGGTATAAATATGAGTATGTTACTAGCAACAAGTCCCAAGAGATGTTAGCCCTGCTAAGTCCAAGCACTTTATTTGCTTGACTAATTTAATGACTGCCATAAAAGTGTTCTACTCTCTCTGCATGGCATGCTCCTTGCTACAAAATCACTAGTAATGGCATAATGGAAAAAAAAAGCAGTGGGGAAAAAAAGCAGTGGAAAAAAATCCTTTGCCTTTTTTAATTTCATGACTTCTCAACCTCCCTGGCTACTCACCCATTATATATATATGCACAGTTCACTAGTAAAATCTTGTTTTTGGCTGTCCAGGCAGATCAAATTCTTCTGTCTACAGCTGAACAGGGAAACATTGGATGGCTGTATATCTCTGTTGCATCCATTGTGGCTGCTTGGATCAATTGTGTTCAGTGTAGCTAGGTAGCCATTCAAGTAAGCAAGAATGAAGGGTTTTGAATTTGTGGACCTAGTCAGGCACATTCCCCACATTTTCTACAATTTTAGGGAAAAATTAGGTTAGTGTATAGAAGAGTTTATATGCAGTGCAACTCATTGCACAGTCAGAAATGTATGGCATTTTCTGGCTGATATTTATTAGAGCGATATGTGACGCTAAGGATTTCCAAGGAAAAGTGTTTTCTAAATTGGATTTCATGTGGACCTGATTTGGATGCAACGGGAACAATGTTTTCATTTCTGTGGACTTTGCCCTTTAATATTGCTGCTTCATACATTTCACATGAAATCAGCTCCTCTGAATAGTAGAGCAGTTAGAAAATTAAGCCTGCAGTCACTATAAGTGTGCTTGTAAAAATTGTTCCATTAAATACAACTCCCATATGCAGCAGCCAGTTCATCACAGGCATAACTTTTAAAAGGTTCTTGCTTCATCTTTGTTATAGCACCTACATGCTAGTAATACCATCCATGAACATGGACTGTGTCAAATGAGTGCTGTTTTGTCAGGTGGGCCATCTGAATCTGTTTAATCTTGCTATTGGCTTACTGAACATGGCAGTCATACTTGTTTTATGGAACATACAGTAGTCTGGTGAGAAAATCCATGCCCCAGCATCTAATAAACTTGGTTGCTACTTCACTGAGACATAAGAAATGCCCAATAGCCCAAATGGAAGCACTCATGCCTCTTAGAAACAAGGTGTGACTGCAAGGCAACTGGAAGCTCAGCTTTAATTTAAGCAACCTTTGCATTAACACTGACCAGTGCTACCTCTATCATTCATTGCAGATTCTTGACAGCTTTTGTGATGGATTTGAAGACTAGTATTTGAGCTATTTATATATCACTTCTTCACTGAAGTTATTTTATTTCTACACTGAATAAAACTAAGCCACCCAACCTATATAATCTGAACTGTGAGAAACACTTGGGAATGGTAGGTTAATTCTCTCCCAGAACAGATTCCCTTATTAGCTAGGCGTCCCTGGAGCCAGGCAGGAGGAAAGCGAAGTCCACCCCTTGGCCTGTTTGAGCCAACTTTTTTTCCTTGTCAACGCAAAAACAAATCCCTTGCTGGAACATTCACACAAGAGTCTTATAAATTACTGTCCAGATTCTTTTGAACTGCACCAAATCATTACTTTCTTGGTTACAAGCCAGTGCCTTGTTAGACAACCAGTCTACTAATTGGTTGCTACAACTCAATAGAGCCTTTATGCTACCAAGGAGCATAAACAATTGACATGCTTTTATACATAATTTGTCTGTTTATATGTATGTAAAGACCCAGAGCCCATGGTGCCAGGCTGGTGATCCGTGTGTTTTGAGGGGAAAGGGTTTTTTCTTAACTGATAGGTGCTTTCTTAACCTGTGGAGGGGCTTTTGGGAATTTTGGGGATGGGGGAATGCTCAAGCATGCTGTGTCCATCTTGGATATTTTTCTTGGTACTGGGGAAGACTTCCTGTTACTAGATAGCAACAAAATCATGGTGTTTGTGTGGAATCAGTATTGTGTGTTCTCCACAATGAGGACCAGCATGACACAGTTGACTTCCCACAGCAAGCGTGAATTTGGCCAGGATGTGGGGAGTAGCATGACCCCATGGCAGCCATTTTGAGACTGGCACCCACAGCACTTGCATACTGGTCCAAAATGATTGGCACCCCAATTTAAGGTTATGTCCAAACCCTGCACTGTGATTGGTTTTAATTATGGTTCATTGAAACAAGATTTTATAAGCCAGTTTGAAGTTGGCTTCTTTCGGTAAACCATAGCTTTGCCTAGGTTCAGACATAATGTTAAACTGTTGTATAGAAACAGAAGCAAAAGCATTTAATCTCATCTTCCAGAGAGGAAGGTGACTGGCATGAAGCATATTTGTGTAATACTCAACAGTAGCTAGCATTGTATCTGAGTGACAGCAGTTTTAATGCATGTCATGGAAAGTAAACACTTTGACAGCATATAAACGAACACAGTTCATGATATATTCTACTTCGTTGTATTGTGAATGCTTGATGCACATGCCCAGGCACATTTTCTTTGTCTCCAACTGTTTATTTACACGGGAAACATCTTTAAATGTATTTGATTTAGTCATAGATTACAAGTGTAGTCTTTGATACGTTTGTTTGAATTACTTTTGAGTTATTGTTCTGCCCCAGGCTCTATTAAAGGGATACTTAATTTAATTTTTTAAAAATCTACCACAGAAAGAACTTAAAGTATTATTGAAATGTAAAATTCTCGTGGTCTTTCATTCTTAGGTAATGCCATAGACAAATGTCACATTAGAAGTTGTCCTTAAGACAGGAGGTTCTCAAAACTCTCTACTCCCAGGGCTCAATTAAAAGGTGACAATTACTGAGGCCCATCAGTGACTAATAATAATAATAATTTATTCCCCGCCCATATGGCTAGGCTTCCCCGGCCACTCTGAGCAGCTCCCAGCAAACACGATAAAACATCAAACATTAAAAACTTTCCTAAACAAAGCTGCCAAAATGGAGGTGCAGGGACAGAACCAGTCATATAAGCCTGTTGACTGTTACACATGTACCATCTTGCTTGTCTTTTCAGCCTCCACTGAATACTTTATTCTTTCAGAAAGCCTTCAGAGATCGATCTTAGTTGGCATCACTTTTGTCATTACTAGAATTGTTAATAAGTTTTAATTTTTTTTATCACTTCAATGAGAGGATTAGGATATGCAGGCAGTTTAGCACAATCAGCTGGCAATTGTGGACACCATTTTCTATTGGTATCTAATCCATCTTGGGAAATTGCTAGATTCTTTGCTACAGCAGTTTCCTACTGGAAATGAATTCTATAGTTCAACTTTTCTCAAGCTAAGTGCAGCTACTGGAGATACTGTGATTCAGCTTCCCCATTTCAGGAAGAATTTGCTCTAAGTGACTTAAAATAGAAGAGGCTCTTTTCTATTTCCCCCCTTCCCACCCCATATATCGCAAAGTATTTTTTACTCATAATTTTTTCTCCCGTTCTTCTTTCATGTTCATACCTTATTTCCTCTTTCTGCTCCGAAGTGTCATTACTTCCATTCCTCCTGCCTGCTCTTTTTACATTGACTTCTTTCTCTTTTAACAATCTTTCCCCTCTATTACTTCCTTACTTTCTACTCCCAGTTTATTTATGAAGATAGTAATGAAAATAAACAACTCTTTCTAATTTATTTCAATACCACTACAGGCCCTTTCCCCTCAGAGAAGGGAGATAATTCTTTCTTATATACATGGTCTTTTACTTGGTTGCTTCAGTATTTCACATAATACTCCACAAATAAGCTTCCCTTTTGATTTGTGGTAACGGTAAATAATAAAAAGGACAGTGCATTTCTAGTTTAAAAAGTAGCCCAGAAGTTTCCTCGGGAGGAAAGTGTCTAGAAAACAAAACTCAAATTCTGTAGAAAAAAACCTGCAGTTTTCATCAGGACTGTGTTTTAACAAAACATCCCAGAATTTTTCCAGAGGGAAAGTGTGTATATGATTAAACTCAAATTCAGTAGAAAAATGTTTGTAGTTTTCATCAGGACTGTGTTTTTATCCTTTTTAATGGTGGTCCGTCAGCACATGCTTTGGCAATGACATGATTTTCTTCATCATCATCATCATCATCATCATCCTGTTCATCATCATCACCACCTAAAAGAAAAACATTTCATATGAAATCTGCTAAGATAGCTAAACTAGTTCCCTATGAATGCCTACACTTAACTTCTCATTCCATTTGCTGAGTTTAACTAACATTTTATGAGGCTGGGTAGCTCAGTTGGTAGAGCATGAGACTTAGTCCCATGGTTGTGGGTTTGAGCCCCACATTGGGTGTAAGATTCCTGCATTGCAGGGGGCTGGACTAGATGAGCTTTGTAGCCCCATGCAACTCTACAGTTCTATGATTTTCAAATTTTAGATTTTTTATTTTATTTTGGTGTTGCTTGAACTGGGTATAAGTCAAGGGATACTAGCAGTTGAGTATACTTTTGCAAGAGGCATGTTCAAGAGTTAGGAATGTATATGCAAAGTGTTTGTACACAATGGATAGGAAACTTGTGTGGCCTACCAGATATTGGACTACAAGAAGAAGAAGAAGAGTTTGGATTTGATATCCCGCCTTTCACTCCCTTTAAGGAGTCTCAAAGCGGCTAACATTCTCCTTTCCCTTCCTCCCCCACAACAAACACTCTGTGAGGTGAGTGGGGCTGAGAGACTTCAGAGAAGTGTGACTGGCCCAAGGTCACCCAGCAGCTGCATGTGGAGGAGCGGAGACGCGAACCCGGTTCCCCAGATTACGAGACTACCGCTCTTAACCACTACACCACACTGGCTCTCAACAACTCTGATCAACTCTCAACAACTCTGATACAACTCTGATCAACCCCACTGATAAGAGTTTTTGGAGACTATGGTAACTGTAGTCCAAAGCTTTAGGGCTTTAGGTCCTCACCAGATCATACAAGAGGTATATTAGCATAGACCTGGTCTGCACATGCAGAATTACATGTTGATAATAAAGTGGTATACAGTGGTACCTCGGGTTACATACGCTTCAGGTTACATACGTTTCAGGTTATAGACTCCGCTAACCCAGAAATAGTACCTCGGGTTAAGAACTTTGCTTCAGGATGAGAACAGAAATCGTGCGGCGACAGTGGGAGGCCCCATTAGCTAAAGTGGTGCTTCAGGTTAAGAACAGTTTCAGGTTAAGAACAGACCTCCAGAACGAATTAAGTTCTTAACCCGAGGTACCACTGTAGACTCTATTGGAATTCTCAAATGGTGTTGAAGTTAAAGCTCAGGGTAAACCCAGCGAAATCAATGTACATTAGCTAATTATGCCTATTCTACATTTTTATTCTTTTGATTTCACAAAGTCATAGAATTGTAGAATTGGAAGGGACCCTGAGGATCATCTCGTCCAACCCCCTGCAACGCAGGAATATGCAGCTGTCCCATTACAGGCCCTGAACCTGCAACCTTGGCGTTATCAGCACCACGCTCCAACCAACCGAGTGATCCATTGCCCTTTCACTGATTTTATTTATATGCCTCTTTCCCACAACGGGGTGCCCGGACATTCAAAACAGAGGACAAATATACAAATACAAACATACAGACATGTCAGTAAATTCAAAACAGCCAAAGTAAGAACCGAAAGGCTTTGTTGTGGCATCTGAGGAGGCTCCACCTGCTGCTGAGTTCCAAGTATCCAAAGGGGCACTTGGTTGCTAGGAAGCAGGACGAGGCCTCTTTCCTCTCCTCTCGGGCGAGGCGGGAACTCGTGGCCGAGTCCGGGGCCTCCTCACCTCCAGGCCCGGCTCGGTCGCCGGCGCCGCTCTCCTGCTGCACCAGGGGACCAAGCAGCGTGGAGACCTGTTCCCGCAGCTGAGCTAGGCCGCTGAGCAGGCCCCGCAGCTCTCCCGGCGGCTCGCAACGGACCCTCAGCGGCCGCTTCAGCCCGTCGCGGCCCGTCAATTCCGCCCGCAACTCCATCCTCCGCTTCCCCTCTGCCTTTCCCCCGCCCTGGAAACAGGCAGCCAATCCCTAACTGAGGCGGCGGCTTTTCCAACCGCCACTCTGGCCCCGCCTACCCGGCGCACGCGCCTCACTCAACGGCTTACGATCCCGTTTCATTGTCTTCTCCTCCCGCCTTCGTCTCCTCCCCCTTTTGTGATTGGCTTCTGGAGCTCACGTGGGCCTCGTTGGCGTCGCGTGAACCTCCCTCCCCCCCACGCCCTACTTCTCCTTCCTGCTCCTCCCCACCGAGCGCCTTTTATCTCGTAGCGTCTGGGTGGCGGCGGCGCAGGGCAGCGGACCCCTCGCTTTCCGCTTCCGGCGTGCGCCGGGCGCTCTCTGGTGGCGGTTTGGCGTTTTCCCGCCTTTTCCTCCCCCTCCTCCTCCCCTTCACCGACCAGGGAGGGAAAGGGAGCTGCGTGCGTTAGTTGAGGATGGAGAAAGAGGCGGCGGCGTCTGGCGCCGGCCTACCTGGCGACGAGGGCGAAGAAGGCGAGAGGAGCGCGGAGGAGCCCGTGGTGTCGCTAGCCGAGGTGCTGGCCGAGAGCGAGGAGCTCGAGAAGGAGGCGCGCGCCGTGCTGGGCGGGAGCGACCACGAGCGCTGCAGCTACTCTCAGGTGAGCCCCGCGGGGGCGAGGAGAGAGGGGCGGGGCCCCGCCAGGTGGGGCTTCCCTTTGCGGCCCCTGAGGGGCTGGGGGGGGGAGGAGGGGCGGCTGAGGTGGTTGGGGGGCGAGGGGAAGCGGGGGCAGAAGGAAAGAGGAATGCCCGCTCCTCTTTATTTCGTTAGTCATTATTTGAAGTAACCCCGTTCCATCATCATCATCATATTATTATTATTATTATTTATTTTGTTGTTTATACTCCGCCCATCTGGCTGGGTTTTCCCAGCTACTCTGCTCAGCCTACTAAAGATTCATGGACTTTCCGCTCAAATGAATCCTAAAGTGGCTGACAAACAATAAACAAGAGCCTCGCAAGTGCAACGTAAACCCTATAATGCAATTTTTAAAAAACCATCCGTAGAAACGCATCCGCAGTGGTCAACAAGATGGCAACGCGGCGGCCGAGCTCCATTCAGCAGCGGCCGAACGTCTTGGTGTTTTTCTCTTCAGCTGACCTCGTGCTTTTGTTAGTTTTGCTTGTTCTTTTTAAAACCCTGTTTGGAAAGGTGGGTGGGATAGGACTCTGTTAACAGATGTGCTTGGATTATAAAGTCAAAGAGCGTATATGGAAAAGGTAGCTAGGCTTTTACACCCGAAAAAAGGTCTTGCGGAGCAATAGTTTCTTGCAGGGCAACCAATTGTGGGGGATCTTTTCTCCATACTTTGGTTTGTTCTTGTGGTCCCATGGTGATCAGACTTTAGTGTGGTTAAACGAAATGAAGGGCATGGAACAGTCACTGGAATCTTACTAATGTCTTCTAAAAGATTACAGTAAAGGTAAAGGTACCCCTGCCCGACAGGGCCAGTCGTGACCGACTCTAGGGTTGCGCGCACAAATGCCCCCTTTTGCCTGCTCCCTTTTTGCTACAATTTTGACGTAACTCCATTCTCACTGCTCTAGGAGTGTATTCTGGCCAGTGATGATCATTCTGAAGCTTGTTGATCATCTGGCTGCATCTCTTGTTTTTCCTCATATTGGCATGCTCCTGGAAAAAAGCTAGGCATCACATATCTTGGTAGTATCTTGCCGTAACCTCAAGCCGTCTTGCAATAGCTGAAGCAAGGAGGAGGGTGTGTGGGTGTCTTGGTATGTTTGAAAATAAACTGGGATAGCTTTAGACTAAGGTTCATGCCTGGCGTGCTCTGGTCCATGGGGTCATGAAGAGTCGGACACAGCTAAAAGATTAAACAACAACAACAAGAAGGTTCATATACCTAAGGGGTACAGAAATACACTGGACAGCGATCCTCATCTGTGCATGGTACTCTTTATATACCTTGTTCATTAGGGAAGAAAACCCTGAAATATCAAAATACACTGCTTATACATTGCCTGTGAAACAAGGAAGAATTGTGTAAAACAGCAGTGAATGATGGTTGCCTCCTACTGTTGCTTAGGCAAGGGCAATTTTGTCCCTTTCTTCTTATTTTGTCTGACTTCCCCCTCCCATCAGTAGCTTGTTATCTAGATAATGAAAATATGGGATTATTTGGAAGCTTATTTATACTGCAGTGCACTTATACAACACCATGTAACACCCTGGTCCTTTTGTTCCCTTTTCAGAAACAAACTTGGCATGGAGTATACAGCATTTTCTGGCTGCCAGTTATTTTAGCTGCCTAAGTGAAATTTCTAATGTGTTGTTGGCTGAATCTGGAATAATCAGTCCTAAGTTGTAGGATACAGCTGCTTGAGAACATGGGAGCCGTTATGGAATCTCCTTTGAAAATGAAAGCTGGATTTGGTTTCTGTACACAGAATTCAGTTTTGCTCAACTTCAAATTCCCAGACTGGCATTCCCTAACATCTCCATTTTTATGCTGCTGTCTCTTTTCCAGGGAGCTGTAAAGAGGCAAGCCTTGTATGCCTGCAGTACGTGCACGCCGCCAGGAGAAGAACCAGCAGGGATCTGTCTAGCATGCAGTTATGAATGTCATGGCACCCACAAGTTATTTGAGCTGTATACGAAAAGGTAACATTGATTGATTGATTGATTGATTGAATTTATATCCCACACCCTGAAGGAGCCCAGGGTGACAAACAGATCTACAGTTTTAAAAACCAGAACATTATAAATCAGTTTAATTTTTTTAAAAAACAGTTACAGTTAAAACCTTCTAAAATCAGTTATTCCATCCAGTGATCTCAGGGTTGCCAGCAATAGTAATACCGAAAATCAAATTTGTTTCCTCTACTGTACAACATTAATGCAGCTAAACTAAATGCAGGCTGCATTTTAATGTTTTAATTATTTTAATCTTGTTTTCAAGTTGTATTTCAATCAACTTGTTTTTATTATTGGTTGTTAGCCGCCCTGAGCCCGGTCTTGGCTGGGGAGGGCAGGGTATAAATAAAATTTATTATTATTATTAAACTAGAATTGCCATTTTGTTGCCACTGTAACTCTTTTATACAATCAGTGGTGGAGAGCAGGTGGGGGCATGGCTGGGGCGTGTCCTGCCACCTGTGGGGGCATGGCGCCCAGCACGGGTGGGGGGGCAGCTGCGATGGCACCCCACCGGGATCGTGCTGCCGGAGGCAGTACACTCCCCCCCACTCCTCTTCCTCTGCCAGTGTATACAAGAATGCTTTGAAACTCAGGATTGTAACTGCGAGAAAAATGTTAGTGAGGTTTAGCAGACATAGAAAACTATTGGATATGTTAGGTTTAAAAGAAAAACCTTTGGATGCAGCTGTTTGTTTATTAGCCTCCAATGAGACAACCAAAATAAGTAGTGCTATGGGCTCACCAAAATGACATGTTCTTGTTCATGATAGTATAATAATCATCAAATTTGTAAATCAAATGTCTGCTTTGATAAAAACCTTTTTGGGTGTGGTTGAATGATCCTGGTCAGAAGTAGGGATTTTTCATCCATTTATTAATACAGTTAACTTTCCTGAGATATAACTGATGTTCCTAAAACTAAAAAAAGCCCTGTCGGAACTCTGGCTCTTTTTTTCCTCTTAGAAACTTCCGCTGTGATTGTGGAAACAGCAAATTCAAAAATTTGCAATGCAAACTATTTCCAGTAAGTATAATTCTGTTTCCTTTTTGGAGTGTAATTGTAGCTAAACTCTTGTTTCTTTAGTGTGAGAACTTTTACTTGTAATTTCTTTTCTCCTCCCTCTCACAAACATGCATTTCAAAAGTGAGATTGAAATGAAATTTGCAAAATTCTTAATAGCTGTTGGCCCAGGCTAGCTTTATTTAGTGTCTAGTGACCTTCATGGGTCAGTTCATTGCAGATGTGGACCCACATCCAGATGCCCCTTCACGTCTGGATTGACTCTGCATGGAAATGCAGATTTCATTTGCTGGCTTATAAAAATGGTGTGTACTAGGGCTGTGCTATAAATCGCCATATTCTTGAATACAGTGTATTGAAATAACATTGTGATATGTGTTTCAACAAGGCAATATACTGGTGAACAAAAGGTGGAGACTTAACAGCTTCCCAGGGGGTAGCTCAGCTGAACAGATACTTTACAGATACTTTGCAGATAATTTGCTGGCACCAACTCTTCAGCTTTGTTTGCTCTCTCCCTTCTCCCTCCTGAATGATGATAAGCCCTCACACAAACCAGCAAACTCTTTCATCTTCACAGGTATCTTTCCACTTAAAGGTAAAGGGACCTCTGACAATTAAGTCTAGTTGCGAACAACTCTGGGGTTGCGGTGTTCATCTTGCTTTACAGGCCGAAGGAGCCAGCGTTTGTCCGCTTCCACAGACAGTTTTTCTGGGTCATGTGGCCAGCATGACTAAGTCGCTTCTGGCGAAACCAGAGCAGTGCACGGAAACACCATTTACCTTCCCGCAAGAGCGGTACCTATTTATCCTTGCACTGCGTGCTTTCGAATTGCTAGGTTGGCAGGAGCTGGGACTGAACAATGGGAGCTCACCCCGTCCCGGGGATTCGAACTGCTGACATTTCAATCGGCAAGCCCATGTGGCACAGTGGTTTAACCCACAGCTCCACCCGGGTCTTTCCACTTAGGGCTCAGCTAATTATGCAGAGCCTGCTAACAATCTAGGAGGGACCACCTATGGCTAGACAATGAAGATCCAGCAATCAAAGATCCAGCTGCAAAATAAACAAAAGAAAGTAAACAAAACTAGAAAGCACATCTTTCTTTCCTCACACTACCCCCCCCCCCGGAAGAGTTTTCATTTTTATTTTTTGGTGGTGTTTATGTTGTTGGTTCCCCCTTAAATAACTTTCCTCCATATCAAAAAGGAAGGGGTTTTTTTATTTAAAGGAAACTGTCTTTTTGCTTGCTTGCCCTCCCTCCCATTGATAAAAAGAGATTGGTGGGATGAGAGCTTTTGAGGATTTCCTTCTGTGTGGGGGGTGGGGATGGAGGGGAGAAGATTTAGCTGGCTGCCTTGTGCTGAAATGGGAGAATGATGGGGAGGGTGTTTTTCAGTAACTAGTGCAAGCTCATGTGTGTCTACTCACAAGTAAGTCCTACTGAATTCAATGAGGCTTACTCCCAGGAAAGTAGAAGTAAGTTCAGTTGAACTCTGTGGGGCTTACACATGCATAGATTCCACTTAGACCTCTGAGTGGGGAAGCAGATTCAACCTGAGTAGTAAATCACTTGAATTAGTTGAAAATTATATGGAAGTGTATTTAATATTTTTATTAAAACTACTACTTCTTTACATTTTAAGGCCCTCCACCGCAGCAGGGAGTCTCGTCAAGGCCCTTGGCTGCTGTGGGGAAGCGTGGCGCAGCCTCCGCTGCTGCAGGGAGGTTGGGCGGAACCATTTTCCAGCAAGGTCCTCCACCATAGCCAATATATGTTGGGATATATCGAGATACAGTGATATTTAGCTGATGATATATTGTGATGTTAAAAATCAAATATCGCCCATCCCTAGTGTGTACACTGTTGTCTGTAAACATGATATTAATGTGCTTTTTATTAACCTGCTGGACTCTAGTACTTGGAGAAATATGAGTGTGCTTTTTAATGTAGGACACAGCTTGCAATCCAGAGATGGCATCTGAGTCAGATGGGCACATTGAGTCTCCATTAACTTCAATTGAGGGAACTCTATTCTTTTTCTTTTATTTGACTCTGCCTTCAAGGTCTTCTGATTACCTCAATTTCTTTCCCTTCCAAAATCTCAAAGGTTTATAGAGTATATAAATTTTTCAGGCTTGAAGTGAGATTCAATAAGGGACATGTGATATGCATTTAATATGCCTGGACATAATAGCAAAGTTTCGCTTTCTGGGATGGCTAAAAGTAAGATACACACCATGATTTTACGGTTTTTATTTCTAGAATATTTGTTTTCCTCTTGTATTTTGTTTAAGACATATGTCCTAACTTATTTCTAGGAGAAGGCAATGGTGAATCCAGCAAATAAATATAACGATAACTTCTTTGGATTATATTGTGTTTGTAAAAGACCTTACCCAGATCCTGATGATGAGGTAAGATGCTGACGTCTTGTACATGCAAATATTTTTATATGCGTGCAGTTCTAGTAAGTTTTAGTAACTTTACTATGTTTTAAAATAAGCAAAAAGAGATGTCTGTCAGAGGTAGTTGGTGGAAAATAAAGCTCCGCAATATGTACAGTGCTACTGATCATGTGCCATGACGCAAGAAATTGCACAAACTGGCAACATCAGGGTATTTTTTATGCAGGGAATTTCATCATGTTCTCTAGGCTTACCCAGTGCCAAATTGACTTTTCATAATGTTGGAACTTGGAGCCATCCATTATAGCTAAATGTTGGAAGATTGAAAACAGACAGAATACGTATTACTCACATGGTGTTTAGTTAAATTATGGAGTTCACTACAGTGGTACCTCGGGTTAAGAACTTAATTCGTTCTGGAGGTCCGTTCTTAACCTGAAACTGTTCTTAACCTGACATACCACTTTCGCTAATGCGGCCTTCTGCTGCCGCTGTGCTGCCACTGCGCGATTTCTGTTCTCACCCTGAAGCAAAGTTCTTAAACCGAGGTACTATTTCTGGGTTAGTGGAGCCTGTAACCTGAAGCGTCTGTAACCCGAGGTACCACTGTATTAGAAAATGTAGTGATGGTAGTGTCCCCTAAGGTAATTGGGACCCTAACAATTTAAGGCTTTAAAAGTTATAACCATGGAAATGAATCTGCAGGCAGGGCAGATGTTTTAATATAGGTGATTGAGGAGATTGCTATCTCAAGCTTCTCAATAAGCAAATTACAGCACCATTTTGCACTCGTTGAACCATCTTCAAAGGTAGCCTGACGAAGATAATTTTGTAATATTTTGGCTCTATTTTTAGATTCCAGATGAAATGATCCAGTGCATAGTTTGTGAAGACTGGTTTCATGGAAGGGTAAGCCCGTGTAATAAAATCACTTCATTAAATGGAAAGGGTTGGAAATGTTAAAGTGATAAATTTAACCTGTCAGACCAGATTTTGTAACTTGGATAGGGCTCGCTTCCTCAGCCTCCTTAATTCAAAATAATTGCATAGATCCCTCAAGCAATACTCTGGAATAATTGAGTTTATGTTGCAAACCTATACACTTAAAACTGTTTACAGTTGGATAGTTAAATCTCCTCCTTATTGGAATAGGCAATGTTTAGAAGAAGTTTAGGCATTACATGTTCTAGTAAGGATGAAAGATTGTAAAATAATGTTAACCCTTCATTTACACAAATGCCTGCGTCACACTGTATGCCATGGGCAGAGGTAAGATTAGGGGTGCTCTCTACATTCAATATGAAGGAATATTTTATTCCCAATTTCTAATTAGATTGCTGAATTTCTGGATTCTAAGCTAAGCTCTTCTTTCTCCCCCATCCCTCCCAGGGGAAAATTAGGAATGGATTTTTGTGTGAAAGGACTCTGAACTCAGTTGGTATTAAAACAAAGTCCTGAGCTGAACATAACATAATAATAATTTATTATTTATACCCCTGCCCATCTGGCTGGGTTTCCCCAGCCACTCTGTGCTCAGAGACACCCTGTTACTTAATTTGGAGTGCTACAACTCTCCTAACAGTTTGACTTCACCCCCAGAAGCGCACTCCTCCATTCTTTTCTGAGACAGATGAATGCCACCAGTTCACTCCTATGAACTATTTTGTACCCAACTTCATTTCTAATAAAACACCAACTTCTAAAGATTCCATAAGTCTGGAGTCTGTTCGTACCTAGTTTAGAGTGTAAAGAAGAAAAAAGATGTGTTCCAGTGCTTGAGGATCACTGTTTCCCATTTTGTTGAAGAATAATTTGTGTTTGTGTTTCCCGTGTGTTCTCATTTCCACCTCCAGCATCTTGGTGCAATCCCTCCAGATAGTGGGGACTTTCACGAAATGGTGTGTCAGGCTTGCATGGATCGTTGCCCTTTCCTGTGGGCATATGCCTCAGAGATAGCAGGTGAGAAGAATAAAGGCAGCTGTTGTGCTAATATTTTTAACCTGGAGCAGCAGCTCAGCCTTGCTAATGCAAGTTTTTGGATTTAACCCATCTTAGTTTCATTAAAATTACCACAACTTCGACTTGTTTAGGTTGCAGCAGTCTTAATTTTGGCTGATTGAATTGTCCACTTGTGCTTTGAGATTTCTTAATGTTAGGCATAGTGTATTTGTATCACCTGACCTTTTGTTGTGGGTAGCCATTTTGATATTTAATAAAAATAAAAATAAATAATTTTATTATTTATACCCTGCCCATCTGACTGGGTTTCCCTAGCCACTCTGGGCAGCTTACATAATATATAAAACATAATAAAGCATGAAACATTAAAAACTTCCAGATACAGGGCTGCCTTCAGAAATCTTCTAAAAGTTGTATAGTTCTTTATCTCCTTGACATCTGACGGGAGGGTATTCCATGGGGAGGGTGCCACTACTGAGACAGAAATAACGTTTCAGGTTTTTGAGAATGAAATAGCATATTGTAGCGCAATATTAGGTGTGGGTGTCTGTCTTTTGCAGTTCACACTGTGACCAAAGTTACTCCTGCAGCTGAAGATCAAGTTGTGTTGAATGTTGAAGAAACTGAAGAAAAAAGAAAAGAAAATGGTATAGATAATCAAATAAAGACCGAAGAAGAAAAAGCAGCACACAATAATGAGCCATCCACCAGCTCTGCCTCTGAGTGTTCTGAGGTAAGCTTTGCATTTATTCTTTTGTGGTTTATGATCAAAATCTTTCTTTCGTTTGTGCTCAGAGCAAGAGAATAATTGTTATTTATTTATTTATTTTGTCTAGCTGGTTATTACAAAGATAAAATATATAAAATAGAATAAAAACGGAATAAAATGCTTCACACATTGACTTTCTGTTAAGGGACAGGTCTTCCTACAGCTCTGAAAAAGTGGTCTGTTTTACCCTTACAAAGGCAATTTTTAGGAGAAAAGTTTGTGTCAAAACTACGTGAGCATGTAACTCTTTGTGAAGCATGTAAATTCATGTAATTCAGCTAATTACCTGCCAGACAAACACACCATTTTGTGTGTATGAGCACCCTAGTGTCCAAGCCATCCGGGAACTGCCTGACACCAGTAGCTACATGTGCAACTGGGCAATGTAACAGGAACCCCAGACTCAAAATAATTATATGTTGTATCCAGTGTTTGTAGACCCACTGAAATTGATGGAAGTAACTAACATGGATCTGTTAATTTTAATGGGTCTTTTCTGAGTAGAACATAGTTGGATACCTTCACAAGTGGGTCTGAAATGAACAGAAAGATTCATGTCAAATGTGCCTGTAGAGTCAGAAAGCAAGTATTAGAAGGATTATTTCCGGTGCTACAGTGTTTGTGCATTTTTTGGCTGAGAAAACGAGAACTGTGAGCTCCTCTTTTTGCAGGATTTATCCAAATGAGGTTTTTTTCAATACAATGTCTAGGAAGAACGTGAAGGCTAATGTATTTTGGGAACCTCAGGAGGAATAAATGGAGTTAGCCTTGGTGAGGTATTTGCTATTCTGCTTGTTTTCCTGGTTCCCTAGACTTCAATTCAAGTCTGAGCCTCATGTGCATATTCCATTTTTTAGTTACGGCATTACTATCGTCTTACTGCTACCAGATCGCAGTTTTGTAATAACTTTGCAGAAAGCTAAGAAGTGCACAGGCTAGAATGAGCACCACCTATGGATATGGAAGAGAAACTGACCTTTCATTTTGCAGCAGACAGTTAAGAAAGAAGAATCCACCTGCAGATTCCAAGAACTTAAAGCCAAGCAGTATGTACAGAAGAACAGGGCCACCTTTTGGCCACACAACTGGCGAAGCAAGTTGTGCACCTGCAAAGAATGTATGGTATGTATTTTTGAAAATCTCCAATTTTCATGTTTGCTTTAGAACTATCTAGAATGCAGTTCACCTATGAACTTGCAAGTGGCTGAATAAAAATGGAAGGAGTGGGAAAGCGTATACCTGCGAGACTTAACCTGTTTTTGTCTGAAAAAATATAATGAATTTTATTGGGCAGGTTACAAAAAAGAGTGATGCTTGCTTGTAATTTGTCTATTCATTTGATTCACAATTGGAGTCTCTTTTCTAGTCATCAAATTTCAAAGCTCTATGCATACATTGGGGAAGAGGAAGTAGAAGAGAAATGTCCCATTTTTGCTTTTCCTCTTCTACCGCTGTTCTTGCCCTTTAATTCTTAATCCTGTGTTGGATATGTTTGCTGGCTTTGCAAAAGATATGTTTGCTGGCCTTGTATCCCATTACCTAGGTTTCCTTGCCTGGCTCCATTTGTCACTTCCACCTTTTGTTGGCTTGCGTTGAAATTTGCAGGCTCCAGCTGCACATTGTTACCTCTTCCTTTGAGGTATTTGGAAATATTTAAGGCGGTAGTCAAATAAGTTTGAGCATAACTAATTTACTAAGTGTATATTATTGATAGATTGCATTTGTACACCAGAGGCTCCCAGAGTGGCTTGCATAAACGGGTCAGGAAGGGAAGAGTAAAACAAATGGAGCTGGACTGTCATAGCAGAGGTGATAGAGTGAGCCCCGCTTCCTATGTATCCCATTCATAGAATGGGTGCCCTGAGGTGCCAGTTGAGGGAGAAGAGGCCATGGTGATCAATTCAGTTCTGTATTTAAAATAAACTTTTGTTTTTCAGAAAATGTATTGTGACCTGGAAGTCCCATTTCTAACAGAGGAATGTGATACAGTCTTAGCCTATGAGAATAAAGGGACAAGTGACCAGGAAGCAGACAGAAGAGATCCTCTAATGGACACACTTAGCAGCATGAATAGAGTCCAGCAGGTGGAGCTAATCAGTGGTAAGTGATGGAGCTTTTATACTTTTTACCCAGCTGGTGGGAGGGCACCAGGTTGGGGAATGCTTAGGCAGAATGTTGTGCAGAATGCAGCAGCTTGGTTTCAGACTGCTGGTCATAGAATCATAGTGTTGAAGGGAGCCCCAGGGTCATCTAGTCCAACCTCATTCAATACTGGAATCTCAGCTGAAGCATCCATGACAGATGACCATCCAACCTCTGCTTAAAAACCTCTAAGGAAGGAGAATCCACCACTTTTTGAGGTAGTCTGTTCCACTGCTGAACAGCTCTTAACGTCAGAACGTTCTTCCTGATGTTGAGTTGGAATCTTCTTTATTTTAACTTGAATCCATGGTTCAAATCCTACCCTCTGCAGCAGGAGAAAGGAAACTTGCTCCATCATAAGGCTTGGTATTCCAGACCCTTGATCATCTTGCTTGCCCTTCTCTGCACATGTTCCATCTTGTCAATATCCTCCTTAAATTGTGGTGCACAGAACACAGTACTCTGTGTAGTCTGGCCAATGCTCAGTAGATTGGTACTGTTACTTCCCTTGAATGGAAAATCCATGCTAAACTAAGTTGATATGTTGAGCAAAAAAGCAGACCAGAGGAGCAGGGAGGTAGAGGAGCAGTATGAGTCTTGGACCATATTTGGTTGCAATTAGTCAGCTAAATGGAAGAAAAACAATCCATTAAGTAAATTCATAACTACAGTAACACAGTATTTTTTTTAAATCCAGAATACAATGACTTGAAAACAGAACTGACAGACTATTTGAGAAGATTTGCGAATGACGGAACAGTAAGTATATAACTCCATAGCGATTCTCTTTTGTTGATTTACAGATTAATCATACTCGGTTGTAACAGGATTGGAAGGTAATAATGCTTTTAGGCTTAGGTCCTCAGTTTCTCAGGTCACTCATAAAGCTCACTGGTGACCTTGGGCCATATCTTCCTCATAGAATTGTTTTAAGGATGTTAATGGGACGTACGAGGAATTTGTGTATTAGCTATCATGAGCCCTTAGGAGGAATTAAGCCATTTTTCAGAACAGACTCTAATTCATTTTAAAGTGTAATGTCTCAAAATGACCTTTAGTAGTTTGACTTTCAAAACCTTGTTTAGCATCCCAAATAAAATGCCTTGATTTCTGCCCTATTAGCGACCACCATGCTTTTCATCCAGGCCTTAACTTACATTTAAAATGTGTCAATTCCATTATTTTCTTCCACCAACTTTTACTTGCCACCAGGTTGTTAAGAGAGAAGACATTCAGCAGTTTTTTGAAGAATTTCAGTCTCGGAAGAGGAGGAGAACAGACCGGATGCAGTACTACTGTAGTTAGACTGGCCTGGAAATCGAAGGACAAGTTTTTTGCTACCCCTTTTCATTCTTCCCTCCCTTCTGATTTAATTCAAGTACCTGTTCATCTTGGCTTTTGTCTTATAAGGCAATGCTTGCTGCTTTACAGCTTAAACATGTGCTCTAATTTCATGGCAGCTGTGCTGAAAATTAACAAGATCATGGTTTCATAAAAATGCCAATTAATTTGTGTTGAAGGAATTGGGGATGGGGTTAGTGTCCTAAGGTATATACTTAGAAAAAGATTAACAAGCCTTCTAAACAGCTGTAGGTGATGAATCATTCTTCAATTGGTTAAAAGAAAAACCTAAATCACTGACTGAAGTTTACAGAACAATGTTTTTAATCAGGGTACCCCTTTTTCATGCAGATGTTTTTAAAATAAGAATTCATACCTGTTCAATTTAAGTACACCCTCTTATTAATTTCTAGTACAAATCATGTTCTGTAGGCATTTTGCTGGTTTAAGAGAGTGAATACAGGATTAGAATGTGGATTAATGAACCTCTCATTGAATGAAGTATAAATTCTAGCTAAACTTTGAAATGAACAGACTGACACATGCAAATTCCAGGTAATATTTCCTTGATAACTCCTACTGTATAGCAGCTTTTTACAATGAAATTACTGTAAATGTTAATTTCCTGCCCCCACAGAATGTAAATACATTGGTTGCTGCAGGATGCTACTAGGTAATCATTGTACTTTTTAGACTGCAAGGAATCTCTGGCTTGGAAGCTTATATAATGTAATTGTTCTAGTTTGTATATGTTTCAGAGGGGTAGCCTACAAAGGTATTTACCCACCTGTAAAATAATGAACTTGTGATCTTTTTGTAATAATTTTAGATAATAAAACCAAGGCAAGAATATTGTAAATAATGTTAAAACCAATGTTCAGAAGCAGTTTTCTTATTAGTGCTCAACTTAATGATCTAATTATTCAAGCAAATCTTAAATGTGTGTATTCAGAACCCTTAAAGCGATGTCTTCTTCTGCCACCATTTGGTTTTTTTAATCTCAATAAAGCAGTTGGTTGTCATTAGTGATGTTGCTAAATTTTGGAATGATTGTGCCTGTTCAAAAACTTTTGCAAATGTGGTTTACTCAGAGTTGCCTCATTTTTGTTCCAGCAGCCCAAAGAGGATAGTTCCTACTCAGTCTGGTTTGAAACAAGATAATGGTAGGCTTGCTCTAGAGATTATGGGCTCCTAGAGACATAATGCAAGATTTGCTTATGGCAGAGCAAGCAGGTGTTTGATAGCTACGCTTCTAGTCTCATCAATGTTAGTATGCTATTACTGTATCAGCTAGTTGAATACCAACGTCACTTGTCTTTGCATGTGGCTTGTGGCTTCCCTCACTTGGCTCTGCCACCCCCCCCCCCCCCAATAGTAGCTGCTGCAGGAAGCATGGCAGCTGCGGAGAAAAGGATTAACCTTCCCTCCTTCCAAATATGTAGGCAACAACCTTCCATGGATACCTGTGAAGATTCCCTTGCCCAAGCACGCTGTTGCAATATGTCTTATGCTCAAAGAAGGGAGGCAACAGTGGGGTGGGGTAATATGCCCATACTAGAGCAGTTTGCTTGGGGTGACTAGGCTGCATTGTGAGAGAATTTAAAGGAATGTTAAGTAGGAGAATGGGGTACATGCTAGTGATAGTGGAATGGCTGTGGCCTTGCTCACTTTTAGATGCAGCCTTGCCTTTCCACTGGCATGTAACCATAATGTTTCCCATGGACAGCACACACCCTTGTTTTTATTATTATTATTATTATTAATAATAATAATAATAATAATTAATAATAAAAATACCCCGCCTATCTGGTTGGGCTTCCCCAGCCACTCTGGATGGCTCCCAACAGAATATTAATAATAACTAGGGTGCCAGTGTGTTGTTTTGCATATTCCCTCAGCCAAAACTCAGGACTACATGGGTAACTTGCACTGAAGTTGATTTTAATCTTGAAGCTGTTACACTACCTGTCTATGATGTGCTAAATGAAATAAATAACTTCTGTTCAGCAAAGGGTCATTGGATGCACATCTTTACCCAACCACATTGCTGTAAACAAGGGAAGTAGTGCAATACATGAGTCAGATCCATCTAGTTTGACACCGATTGTGGTTTTGCATTTTAAAAAGCACTGTAGGAGGTAGTGAGGAAATCGATATACTAAGTATTTAATACACAATACTCACAGGGTTTGGGTTGGTTCATGTGGGGAAGAGGTGGTCCTCAGCCACATCAGGCTTTGCAGGTCAAAACCAGCATTTTGGAAACTGATACGCAACCAGTGTAGTTGTGCTAGAATTGGTGTTATATGGACTGACTGTCCTACCCAGGTCAACAATCTGGCTGCTGAATTCTGCACCACCTGCAGGTATTGAACCTTCAAAGGCCACCCCATGTATAGCACATGTACAACTAGGTTACCAGAGCCTAGACAACAGAAGTAAGGCTGGGCCCACCAGATGGAACTGACAGAAGGCATTCCACTCTACCAGGGTTACTTGGGCCTTGAGCAACAGCAATGAACCCAGAACTGCCCCCAAGCTACATACTTGCTGCTTCAGAGGGGGTATAACACCATTCTTCCAGTCTTGGCTGGATTAAGCTGCAGGTGGCTTTTACCTAGTCTTGTTACTGAGGCTGAAGACAGAGCCCAACAAAACTTTCAGTGTAGGTTAGCTATGGCATATCCAACAGTAATTGGGCTTAAGGATATTGTTAAACCAATTGATGTGGCCATGCTAGTTCATTAGTGGGGAAAAAATCTAAGAGATACAACAGAGTACAGAGATACAAGAGGCTGCACAGAGTACAGCCTTATTAGAATCAAGTAAAATGTATCTGACTACGGAGCAAACTTTGGCATAACCTGAAACCTGTGGGATAACCAGCCTCAGATAACCAACATACTTAAGTCTCATTAATGAATGAAGTGGTTAATGCCATAGAGTAAGCTGTCCTGCCAGGCTTAGGTCACTCCTGCTCACCTTGGGAGTAATCAAGCCTATTGTACCTCAGTCTGCCTGCTCAGCTCAGTACAAAACAAGACTTTCTTGTGTTCCTATACCAGTCACCTAGGAACTTTCACCACTGTAACTAAGCCAAGTTTTACTGCCTGTGTTTTATGACTGATGCATAGAAAAATCACATAAACCTAACCTTCGGAGAATTTGTAAGTAAACCATTTTTAACCTACCAAATGTGTGGTCTTTTTCTATGCCAAGGGAAGAGGGAAGTTTTGGAACTCACAAGGGCATATTTTAAAGGGCTAACAACATAGACTTCCACACTTTAGTTTGCTGGGATTCTCTCACCAAAGAGCACTAGCCCCAAACTGGAACCTTGGCATCCAGGAATTCTCCTTTTATATACCAATCTTTTCCCTGCCACCAATAAAACCTGTATTGTATCTACCAGTCTAATTCTGCAAAGCACCTCCTGTACTCCTTCTTTTATAAACTGTATTCCTATCCTATTCAGGCTTTTCTAACTTTCCTGCCTACCCCTTTGTTTCTTTTTTATACCTAACCTGAAGAGTTCCAAAGCTACTTTGCAACATTTTAGTTCCTAATAAAAGTTATTGCCTTGTAGCCTTGAGATTTGATTGACAAGTTGGTACTTCTTTCAAGACAGGAAATTAATATAATCGGAAGGAGTATGCTTGGCAGCTGTCCACAGTAATGTGTTTTCGTCTCAGACAGGAGGAAAAAATGTTACTATACGTTAGCCTGCTGCATGCAGAAGTTGTCTTTTATCGTGACTGAATCAAATAAATTTTACACAGGATTTTTCTAGACAAGCCATTTATTTGAAATGCCAACTATATGTAGGATAAAGTCAGTGTTAACATGCTTCTCAGCAACAGTAGAAAAATAGAACCAGTGAAAACCTTTTTACAACTGTAATGGTACTCAAAAGAGAAATGTATTGTTTTACAATGCATCACACAAGACTAGAATTCAATTCTAGAGGTACCTAAATAAAAATACTATATTTTCTTAAAAAACCAATATGTACAATTGAAGCGTAAACAAGTTTTACAAAGTACTGGTTATGCAGGTTGTAGAAAAAACACTTGCATAGGACATGAAGTTGTTGTAAGAAAATTTCTGAGCCTTTAGTATTGAAGGCACTTGACTTTATACCAGTAACAGCACAAAAACAACGCAACATCATGGACACTTAACACCTTCCAGAATTACAAACATGTACGGAAATAGCATCCCCTCCCCCTCCAGCTTCCTCTAGCATTCCACACACAGCCCCTCCACCATTTAAAAGCACAGTCATTGGGAGAAGCTAGAATAATTGTTCCATCCATAGCCCATTTCAAAATAATTTACATAAGAGATGAAAATATGGTTTGGAATAACAAGCAAGAGCCAGTCTCTTCATTTTCTCTCTTTTTAAAGGCAGAAAAAAGAGATCAAAGACAGGAATTAAAACATGAAACGTAGATGGTCACTGTACTGTAGTCTTACAGGATAACAAGGATAACTCTTAACAGTATACTTTCAGAAGACTTATTGTAAACACATTGGCTGGGATACAAAATGGCGTGTCTTACATGATGGTTTTTCCACTTCCTTCTCCTGGCAGGAGAACCTTTGTCACTTCCCAACCCACACAGCCCTTTGCACCTCTGGAAGTTTAAAAAAAGAGAACAACCCACGCAAGGTAGATGCATGGAAACACAATGTGTTTGTGTGCGCACATGCACACACACACACACACTTCTAGTTCCCAATCATGGATTAGAACACACAGTTTTTCCTAGCAGGATGGATACCAAACCAGTTTTGGACACGACTCTTCTGTTGCAGCAGAAATAGCCAAGATTATAGTTTTAAATTTCCATACTGAAGCATCTTTCACCGGTTTACCAATTGTTCAGTAAGCAATTATTTCTCTTTCAAAGCCACAGCTGCATGGTTACTGAATACTTGGAATTTCCTAAAACGTATTCAAAAGTGCTTCATGCCAACAAAAGATTATTTATTTAAGCTGCTAAAACTGTATTGTGCATTGAAGATGCCAAACACACAACATAGTTGTCAATTACTGAAACACTGAATAGCTGGGTTTTGCTCATGAGTCCTGATTTTTTGGAGGACAAAGGGACCAAGCGGTTGAAGTTCTGAGTAAATCATCTGCCCAGCAGATTGTAAAACTAATTTCAATTATGGCACAATACATGTTTGATCAATTTGTTGCCGGGCCAAGTTAACACCCAGACAAAACCGTTGCATTGCACTGTTCCTTTTTGGAACAGGGGGGTCACTTCAAATTTTGGGAGAGTGCTGGTGGCTCGAGTCACAAAGTGCCTCCTAAGGTGGGGGTCATGGCAGAACACAAAATTAGACAAGCACCCTGACAACCTTATGCCTACCACAGTCAGCTATGCCCTGATCATGGAGATCACACTACTCATCACACGTGCACTGGTGCTGTTGCTGTCTAATAACGGAGCATTTGTCAGTGTCAAGAAAAATATACAAGGTGGTCACGTCACGTTCACTTTCATTTCACAGAAATCACTTAGAAGGTACCAGCACATTTTGCCCCATAAGTAGAGACTTGCCTCTTTAAAAATAAGAAAGCTTGGAGTCTGGGGAACCTGCCCAGGGGCACAAACGAAAGCCTTTGTGGGCAACACGGTGCCCAATGTCGCCAGGTTGGCGACTCCTGCTCTATCGAATCATGGATATTAAAGTTTGGCTTTAGTTGGCCAGTTGCTCATATGCCGTTTACAAAATATAGATATCAAAATACGCCTTTTCCTAAGGAAGTGCAAGAAGAGTTGAATGACACTGGATGAATAAATGAGCTACCCAGAGGTCCTGCTAAAACTGCACCAAACTGATCAAACCCAATCTGACCACAGCTGGGAAACGGATCTAGTTTAATAAGCCAAAGAATCCGAGAAGAGTTTTGTTGACACATTAGAAAAAGCAAGTTCTTAATTAAAGCCATAGAGGTAAAGAAGCCAGTTTCTTGCCATCTCAAAAATTTCTCTAGGAATATTTGCACCCCCCCTTTCTGACTTAATACAAGTTATTTTACATTGTCTAAATAACTCGCGTTATCTCAAGGTATGCTACAAAATTCTGTCTCTTACAAGGATTTGCTTTCATCTAGAACGCTGTCCCATTGTCTGAAATGGCAACTACCTGACTTCAAAAGCGGTACGTTTTGTTCGCTGGGAGCCAATATGCACCTAAATAGCTTCTCACAAAGCTTATTCCACAGTAAAAACCATGTGTAAACTAAACCTGGGTGGATTATTTCAGCCAACTCTATAGCCACTATTGAGATCAAGAATTTACCCCTCGGGTAACTCACAGACAGAGCTAGGCACACATTACACTACTAACGTACTGAAGCAAACAGGCTCTGTTTCAGACATGGACAAAATGACCTACTTGAAATAACAGAATATCTAAAACCTAGAATATGGACGTTTCTGTGTGCTCTTGTTTGGAAGAGTGGGTTTAAAGATATATTCGGTGTGCATGAGTAAGTGGGTCAAAGGTAAGTCTCGTCCCAAAATTCTCTGGAAGGCAAAGCCAATCTCACAAACTTCTCCTATACCATGAAAGACAGCTAAAAAGCACTAGACAAGGTGATATTGTAGATTCTCATCTTCCCTTGTCCTCAAAATTAAAAAGGCAGAGGATAGAAGACTTTATGCTTTATGCATTTGCACCATTGTAGCAAAGTTAATGTAGTGTGAAAATTCTGGACAAGATACTCTCTCACTCATACACACTATCCATCAAGGATCCAGAATTTGTGTTTGCCCCCTAAAAGAAATAGGACACAGCAACTGAAAGGCAGGAGCTGGTCCTCTTTTTAGAGCTGAAAACAAAAGTGTGATTAAACATTGAAAAAGTGTACATTTAAAACAGTGTCAAGTATCTAAAATCAAGAGTCAGATTTAAGGTTAGAACAGCCTTTAGTTAATATTCTGACTGAGGTCTTCTGGTGATGGAAGATCTGCATTTTAGAACTGGCCACCCTGTCAGGCCTGTATTAGGAGATGCCACAGCAGCACTGGAGCTTTCCCCCAATACTTGCATGAGAAAAGACATGGTGGGTGCATACAACTGCTGACAGCCCAAATGGCCATCATTAGCAGCAATCGGCGTTTCTAAGCAATCGGCCCCGTCTCTTTACTTTGTGTTCATAAAAGCACGGAGTCCCCAGAGTCTTTTTAAAAAGACAAAACCAAACGCGCACACACGGAAGAGGTTGGGATGAAGAAATTAAGTGCTAAATTGCTTACAGCTAATTTAAGCCTTAGGCGTTCCTCTTCAGTTTGTGATTTCCGTCCACAAAGCAAGAGACTCACGGGGTCCAGGAGCCCTCAGTGACATCACTAAGGTTGAAGCCCTTGGTTGCTTAATCACAGGTGGAAGAAAGAAGGCAGAAAGCACTCCTTTGGTGCCTCTACTGGAGACAGGCAGCTTCCTCTAAGGAGATGGAGCGTTAACACCAAAGTCAGGTGTTATGCAACATCTTCTCACTGTCCTGGGTTGGTACAAAACCTTCCCGTACCTGCATATCCTTACTCAAAGGAAAAATTGATGAGAGTGTTTACAGTACTGTCACAATTTGCAGTACCAGGTGTATTCCAACAAAAGGAGTTAACTAAGTGCTTCTCAGAGGTGTTATGTCAGCCCCCAAGGCCTGCAAGAGAGAGAGAGAGAGAGAGAAGATTTCAAGGAACCCAAAGAGAGTTATACTCCTCACTTCCACAGAAAACCTTGGCCACAAACATCAGTGAGGGCTTGCTACATCAAGATGAAGGCCAGCTGCCATGGACTTGGTAAACAGAACAAACGCATTAGGCTGGATTCTTGCACTAGTGGTAGACCAGGAAGGCCTGAGACTGAACCAGAGC